ACCATTATCCTTCGTTCCTCTTATCTTCACGTTTTCTGCAGTGATTCGTTGTAGGCTCCATACATCTTTGCGCATATCCGGAGCTACTAGGAGACATTCCTTGTTTCTCCATCCTGTAATCTTTTAGAATGTCTGTGTCATTTACCTTCGCTGGCTTGTTGATGTATTCTGTGACATTTTACGAACCCACTAGTGACCAAACTGCTTAATGGAATGGTTACATCTGGCCACCTAAAAATTTTCATAGCGCCATTATCTACCGATCCTCTTAACTTCAGCACCTCTATTTAGTAGCAACTAGGGGTCGTAGGCTCCACGCATGTTTGCTCATATTCGCAGCTTGCTAAGAGCCATTGTCTTTTATCTCCAGCGTTCATTCTTTGTAACTGTCTGCGTCACATTCATTTGCTGTCTGTTGACTTATTCTGGGACACTTTAGGTATCCACTAGCCACAAGAGGGCTTCATCCCCATGCCATTGCTAGCCGTCGATACCTTCTCTCGCTTAGCACCATTATCAGTTTTTCTTATTACTTACGTCACCACTTTTCAGCTGCGGCGAGTCATTGTAGGTAGCGTACATCCTTGCGCTAGGAGCCACTCCTTATCTCTCCAACATTTATTCTCTTGGATTGTTTGCATCACATATTTTCGCTGGTTTGTTGACTTATTCTGTCACTGTAAGTATCCACTAATAACTAGAAGGCTTAATGCGAATTCAGTTGCTGTCCACTGGTTCTCTCTCTTAGCACCATTATCCTTCGTTTCTCTTATCTTCATCACGTTTTCTGCAGTGATTCGTTGTAGGCTCCATACATCTCTGCGCATATCCGGAGCTACTAGGAGACATTCCTTGTTTCTCCATCCTGTAATCTTTTAGAATGTCTGTGTCACCTTCGCTGGCTTGTTGATGTATTCTGTGACACTGTAGGAACCCACTAGTAACCAGGCGACTTCAGCAAACTGCTTAACCATCACTCGCCCTCCTTTTGCGGCATGTGTTTGCGGTGGCATGCGGAAGCTTTTGTTTTCTGTGTGCGGAAGTTCATTTGCCGGGATATCATGTTGGGACCCGTAACCTCCACCACACGTGTATCAAAGGTGACTTCCGTTTGTGAAGCCTACAACCACTCTCAATTCTCCTCGAAACACCAGGTCTGGACCGATATTAAAATCCCTTGTGTGTTCCTTCTTGAGCGGATACTTGAGCAAGGAAATGATAAGGTGTTGGAGGGTTGATAGATCCAAAACGAAACATTCTGTCCAAAGAATTACTGCTACGTTCCCTGCACTAGCAGTCCCCGCTGTATAGGTCAGGTGAAGTAAGAAAGCAGTAGAAAGAAAATGGAAGATATAGGGGATTGAAAGTCATTTAAATGAAGGATAAAACCAATGAGCCAAGAGAATGACAGAACACGAACTAGAAGTTGGTAGATGGATATGGTCAGGAAAAGGGAAAGGTTTCATGTTGCCAGCGAAGAGCGTCTAACTGGCGATCGAAACCCTTAACTGTGGGCTCACTGCCTACAATTTCTGGAAGCGGGTTCCAGTGCTTGATAACTCTACGCGATAACCGAGTTTCCGCCCTGATCCCGTCACAACGCGGCTTGTGTAGGTTCATGGGATGACCGCGAGGACAAGTCAATCTAGCCGGCCTAAATAAGCAGCTCAAGTCCGGTCCAACGTTCCCTGTCAAACTGCGGTAAGTAAGGATTAGGTCTCCTGGAAGCCATGGGTAGTGCATTGAATACATACCCAAGTAAGGTAGATGCTCGGAGTACGATTGCCCCCGTAAACCCCTCGACCAATTTGGTACCCACTCTCAAAACCCTCTCGAGCTCCATTTTGTCCCCAACAAGGTAGGGCGGGCAAGCCTGGACGCATATTCCAGATGGGGCAGAACGAAAGCTGAGAACAGCTTCACAAATATGTCGGCAGTTAAGACCCCGAATAAACGGCGTATTAACCACAACATGCTGAAACCCCCCACTAGCGGCCTTCCAGTAGTCACCAGACTGCTAAGACGAGGAATGGATGACGCCTAGGTCTACCCGGTTGGAGGCAAGGGGAGTTCGACCACACCGAGTACGCAGGTGGAAGGCGGGAAAGTAGCTCCTATAGGAAGGGCAGAACACTTAACTTGATGAATGGGCAGTAGCCACAAAGTAGACCAGTCCCGGAGTCTGTCCAGGGCATGCTGTAGGGCCTCAACCCCCAGGAACATTTACAACATTCCATAGCTTAAGGTCATCAGCAAACAATAGGGATTATACCCCAAGCTCTCCAGGGAGATCGTTTACGTAGATGGAGAACAGCATCGGTACAAGCCCTGTGGGACACCGTTAAGTACTGCTTGCCTAAAGAATAACCTGCGACCCACACGTAAACACTGGTCTCTTCCCTGCAAGAGAGCAGATACCCAGTGAAGGGCGCAGTAGGAGCTCAGCTTTGGTGATAGCCTCAAATGCGGTATCTTATCAAGTGCTTTCGAGAAGTCTACGAAAAGCACATCCACTACGTGGCCATTGCTCATTGCCTCGGCCCAGGCTTCACAAGCAACCAACAAATTCGTATGACACGGAAACCCCTTCCGGAACTCGTGCTGTGCAATACTGAGTAGATTAGATCTATTCAGGTGACCTCCCAACGATTCTCTCACCAGTTTTCCAAGCCGTATATTTGGAAATGGCTTAGTGATGCTCTGGTGACGCCTGGCCAGGGTTCACCTGACCGATAAACATACATGATCACTGACATATAAGGGAGAGCTGTGCTGTCACCTACGAAATCTATTGACTTGGCAAAAACTAGATCCAAAACAGACGGTAGTTGAGCATCTATGTAACCATTGGGGAGGTCCACGATCTGATGCAACGGTACTTGTAGCGTAAGCTGAAGGACATCCGCACCGAAAGTACATTCCGCTGAATTGCAAGAATGATCTGCTCAGCAAACTTCCGGTAGGTTGAAATCCACCAGTGTCAAACACCCGTTTGCGGATTGGGAGCGACTAAAGTCAAGCACATCTTTGCACACACTCCCGGGGATTCTATACATAACTACAACTGTAAGTTGAGCTGAGGAAGTGCTATTCAATACCGACAGAGCCTCCGCAGTCTTATCTGCCGACTGCAACATGTAGGTACGTAAAACATCGTCCATAGATAACGTAAAGCGCAACGCCCCGCCTTATCGGCCAACGAAGCGACCACATCTACATAGTGCGTAGTTAGACGGATGTACTTCACCGTCCGTGATGTCCCGAGACAGCCACGTTCCAGTGCATGCTAGTATATGAGGATGAGACCCACTTCCAAGCAGACCTACCTCGCACTTCTTATTCCTTAGGCTGCGCACATTGCTTAGCACTACCGGAATGTACTCTTTATGTCCAGCCCTGGGTCGTGCGCTACCAGTACTGGCACTGGTAGATCGGAAACAGACCGCCGGCTGACCACCGGAATATCCACCAACCGGAGACCTTGTTCACCGGCCGCTCGCCTTTTTTGAGGTCTTTAATGGCCTCTTTTAGCTTCAGCCTATCCGCTAATGGGAGATCTGGCTAAACGCTAACATTAGCACCTTTCCATATGAAGGCAAACCGCAACAGCGCGTTGCGTTCCTCCCGGGGGTGGAAAAGACTACACGAAGTAAGCACGGTCGAGGGTTTGTGGCGTTAACTGGGACGTTACCCAATCTAGTCAGTTTCCTGACCATTTGTTCGCAACAGCTGCGTAACCTTCTCCACTTCCGTGACACAAGCGTTACGATGACGCCGCCGTATGTCATACAAATCGCGCTTCGTTAAACGAATGTTACATTGAAGACGCATAAATGCACGCATCTCTTGCGTGCGGCGAAACGTCTTCATTAAGATACGTACCATGATTTCCTGATCCGCTGGTAGCCACTGATTTCCGCCTTACAGCCAAGGCATCCCCACTTGAAAACTGTGCGAATGCTAAAGACGCGTTTCCAATCTCGTAACATTCCCCCATAAAAACCGCTGAGAACCGCGCAGGGCAATTGTAACACAGGTACCTGTTAAAATATATTCATCAGGCGGATACGCTACACTTACCGCTTTCCAGCAACATTCGATCGCTTACTATGCACGCACACAAACTGAATATATAGGTACTGGTATCATTCCGGTAACACCTGTCCAGTCTCCCATTGGTAAGCTTTCGCAGTTTTAACGATCCGACGAATGAACGATGTCGCTGTTTCCATCTGAATAAGTTGCAGATCTTCATTCATCGACGAGAAGTCCACATATGGAACCTTGAAGATACCCCGGAATGCGCAGCAGTTATTCCAACATAGCTGCTTTCGCTAGAAGCGGGAAAATGATTAACCACCGTAACCCATTTAAACCGTTCACTATATTGATTTCTAATCCACCTCTTAGCATATTAACAACGACGTTAACATAATAGTAAACACACACGTGCCTCGGAAGGCCCAAAACTTTCATCTATCAACATACAACCTTGTGTACCACAATCACACTATCGAAAGATCATGGATCGCAAGTGGCGGATCCGACGCTCCGGCTGCCAACAGATTGTGCGGTGCCTGGCCGTCACACCAGTCCGATTACTTTCTCATGCTTTCGTCACACGTTCTCCATTTTTTATCCGAATAATCAGCCACATCCTCACTACTGCGCAGACGGTAATAAAACCCGATCCATTGCGTTTCTCCTTCTATGCAACCCTTGCACTGCCCTGCATTCCTAAGCGTTGACTCGGCCAGGCTGGGTGCTCCATTGTGATGCAACCCGGAGCCTGGAGCGACCGCATCCTATACCGCAACTGCAATTTTGCTCATTAGTCTCGAATGTCTGACGCGTTGCTTGCCTTTCAGCGTCTCTGTCGTCTCAACTACCTGAAAGCCTATAAATTTGGATGTTTCCTACGAAATAAGTTTGTTTATTCCGCAAATGTGTATTACTATCTCTTGTCGTAGAACTGACCACCATCCTTTGTATCCATTTCAGGAACTCCGTACTATAACTGTTCAGTTATCAGTTTCTTGATGGGATTACATGCCATTGCACGACGCTTATTCGGAGATCACATCTTTGATGTAGACAGATGGTCCTATCTGCGCGTTTTCACCGCTGTTATCATTCATGAGACACTTGGACTCGGCATTTTGGTTGGATTTTGGGCAGGGTGTTACAAATTTCGGCCCCTCCACAGGATGCTAACCTTGGCACCCAAATCTGTTCAGAATGCATACGGTAAGTAAGTGTCTCTATTAAGAGTTGCGTTCTGATTCACTAATTTTACATTTGTGTATCTACCAACTGGATAACGCTTCTGGACTCCGAATATGCCTACCATGGCAACTGCCACATTTGCCCTTGGTGTACGCATATATTACTACACAAATCAGTTCCTTGTGAATGTGACATACCGACCTACGGCTATCAAAGATATATGGTATCTTCCTGCTGCTTCTGGCGTACAATTAATACGACAATTTATTTATCAGCCGGATCCCAACGAGACTGCAGCAAGACTGTGTACTACTTTGGTCCACTGAGCTATAAAAGTTGTGTTATGGTCACCCAGGTCGCATCGGGCCACTCTGATTGGCTGTCCAAGAAAGCCTGTCCGCCCCCATTTGCCAATCAACAGGTAGATTTTACAAACACGATGTAATGACAGACAGACACGAGAAAATTACACAACGTAGTGGCGACCTTCCTGAACGTTCTCTGTTCTCTTCTATTCTTTACTTACCCTTTATAGTATTAGGTTATACGAGAACATTCTTTTGACAAACCGATGCGATTATTTTGGTTGATTTCTAGCAATTTCTCGAGGTTGAGCTGTTTAGGGTTCACTGATCCATTCGTTAGTAGGCGCTTCCCCTAACATAATGCCCTAGGGATTTTTGTGATCCACTCCTAACCGTTTGGTCAGTTACTGGAATTCACGTGGATTCAGTCTTCTGAGTCTTTAAGTTAGCAAGATTTGAAGTAATGTGATCATTTCTGTAAAAAGGTTCGTCTTGTTAACGACAACCATACTTCCGCTACTTCGCCTTCAAACTTTTGGGATAAAGGCACCTGCCATTGATGCATCTTCTTGTGTAATTCTCTGATGAAGGAATGAATTGTACCAGGCACTTAGCACGAAGCGACTTGTCAGGATACAACTATGACCATATTTGCATTACCGAATCGGCGACGGCCCCCAACTTTTTTTGAATGAAGTTGATCTGGTACCTGTGCACAGTGTCTCGGACCAAGGGCTCGGCGCCGCAGTCTGCAACCACAACCACCCTCAGTGAAATGGAACTGTCCATCTCTGCTTAAGGGTACATTAGACGCGCCGAGAATAATCACTTTGCTTAACAGCCTAAGTCAACTCAGTAGAATACAATGATTATCCGTTGCTCTGTGTCAATATCACAAGACGTCATATAGTTAAGTGATGTATACGCGACGCGGCTTTTATTGTACTGTATCCGCATGGATCCTGTTATACTCGGAAACTTTCTTCAACACCTTGTAGAAACTGCGCTGGTTCATTCGATCAACTGCGATCGGAGTACCGTAGTGCGGTGGATCCAGTTGCCACGACATCGCAAGAATGAATAAATAACCACGGCAAGACAGTGAGACTGCATGCAAATAGATCGCAAAGAAAATGAAAGCATGAAGGAAATGCGTTAGACTAGTCAGCATGGATCACAAATTAACAACTAGCTCCAAGCAACCGAATGCAAGAACGCGACTGACTGCGTGAGTGCACCACGTTTGTTATGGTCTCCAGCTATTGGTGTGGACCATCTCCAGGCCCCATCCACGTAGGCGGCACGCACTGACCTGACGAAGTCTCTCAGTCAGTCTTCATGCCTCTGTACTACGTCATGAACTGGCTACCTCGCCGTTTCGCCCAACTTGGTGCAGCCACAATGTATAGTGTACGCCGAGGAAGCCGATCAACAGGCATACGGAGAACATGAACTAACCAAAGTAGGCGATTAAGATTCAGCAAACACTCGAGAGAGGCATCAGAAGGATTCTTACCACTAACCAACTAGCAGACAGCATTGCTCACCCTGTGTTTCGACCAGACGTTAGCAATACTCCGCAAGCACCGGTGGTCAAACACAGTCGAGCGTTTAATATCTTTACTGCGAACTGGTTAGATCTCTGATCCTTACAGTAAGACTGATCTTACCACAGCGTTATACACCCTGCCTTTCACTGACAGACTGATCTCCCGCGCTGATACACCATTTAACAAGTTGCGGCCCAAAACGCCGGTTTGTAAGTAACGTCGTTCCAGTAATCACCAATTCGAAAGAGTGGGACAGGTCAGCTTATGTTTTTAGTGACTCACGCTGCTCTCATACTGATTTCACTCAGCTTCTTCGCTCTATTTTTCATCGTGACCTCTTCTTGAGGTCTTCTCAACCAACCTCGGACGTCATCGATCCATGTTTTCGACCATTTGATGGAGTAGTGGGAAGGTTTGGTGCCCGAGGTCATCCCGCATCACTTATTGCCTTGCCAACTAGAAACATGCAGAGCGTCTATCCACACTGCACGTGAACTGGATCGACGAGGTGGTCATTTTTGTTAAGACGTTCGACGATCTATGCGTGTTTGCCGAAACCAAGCCGCTTACTTCTCCTGGTTGGAGAAATATCACCACTCTACCGACACCATAATATGATCGACCTCAATGTTTTGATATGTCGAGTTACTTCTATCAACTAGGCTCACTCAGTTTACCATCACTTCCACAGATGTACTGGACAATGGTGTTGGGTGGTGAGTGGATCTACTGGGCTGCTTTCAACTAAACTTTCTAATGGAGAGCCTCTACTTTAAATGGCCCAAGGTTAACCAGTGAGTGTATTAGCCCAATGCTACGTTCTAGCTGACGTGTTATTGTTCAAGTGCAATTTCCACAATTGATCCAGACGTTAGGGCTGTTACTGCGTGATACCAACAGTACGCTAATACCTTGCATCTGTGCCACCACCAACAATAGCAGCACATCAACCATCTGAACTGATGCTTGGCTACCGTACAAACACGTTGACTTGCGGAACGAAAAATCATAAAAGCTAGTGAGGAGGGACCTAGCGTAAAACTTTAATGCCCTGAGCAAACATTCAGGATCAAGGCGCCTGCACTCTGTGTCAACAACATACTGTCGCAGGCTGCTGGCTATCATGCTAAGATAAGGCGAGACAGTTTCCTTGCGGCTTTCACTGCCCCGTGTCACAATCAGCCATTGCCCCGCAGATAACTCAGCACCAACCACACTTTAAACTGACAGTCTAACTAGAAGGCGGCAGCAGTCTCGCCATTGGTGTCGGTTTCGAGCCATGTCCTGTAACGTCTCGAGCCAACCACAAGGCGTGTCAAGTATACTCCAGGCTGGGAGGGGAGGCGGATCAACAGTGACTTCATTTCACGCTGCCAAGTTCACTTTTTCCCACCTCGGGCCTTGCGCCACCCTACATCTGGCAGACAAAACAAGACCTCGTTAAGCGGTGACTGCGCATACCTAGTACGTACCCAAGCCAAGGCAACTTTTTCAGTACTATCTAGTATAAGTATCGCTGCCTAGTACTCGCCTACGCAAATCATCGTCGCGGACGCGCTGGTGCCACCCGACATCAGCAGTGCTCCCCAGACCGCCATGATCAAAAACTTGAAGGTGACTTAGGTTTTCGTACCGAAGAAGCCACGTCTCACTTCCATACAGTAGGACGGCCCTCACTGTGGCCTTGTAAATGCAGCCCTTCGAACCGTCACAGATGTCTCGGATTTTAGAAGACGGTTTCAGCCTTTGTAATACCTGTACTTCGTTGCTGCAGCAGCTGCCAATGTAAGTGAAATGATCAACTTCCTGGATTTTCTCGCCATCAGTAGCCAAGTGGTCATCAAATAGCTGATGGTCTTATAACAACAGTTTACACTTTGAAGGTGCGAAGCGCATGTCAAATAGTACGATCACTCTTGAGAGCTTGTTCAGGGTTGATTGAGACGTCCCAACATCGTTAGACAGCAAGACGATATCGTACGCATAATAAAGATCAATTAGCGTCCCTCTGCAACACCTCAACGCCTGCATTGTGAGATTCCGCAAGGAAACCCTTCAAGATACAGTCCACAGCAAAACTGAACAAAATCGGGAAATTGGCCAACTCCGACGAACGCCACTTGTTGCCGGCAGGCTATCCGACAGGTCATTGTAGACCGTGATGCCGCCTGTACTGTTCGGGTACAAAGCACGTAAACTGTTCACATATTTCATGGGAACACCTTCCGCACAAGTATTTCGATTGGAATGCTTTAAATTCACCATTGAGGTCGAGGAACATAGCTATTGTCGGTCTGCGGTATGCGTGGCGCTGCTCTATCACCTCTCGCATAGTGTATGTATGATCTATACCGTGCGTCCTGAGTGAAAGGCTGCTTGCTCCTCCTTATTCCGGGATTCCCATTCCTCAGTAAGGCGACAAACAAAAATCGCGGCCAGTAATTTTATCACAACTGACGTTAGGTTAATATATCTGTGGTTAGCACAGTGGGTGCGCCTTCCTTTGTATTTGCCACTATAACAGATTTACTCCAATTTTCCGGAATGGTCTCTTCTTTCCGGATTTGTTCGAACAGTGCTTTGCAATAGACTTCACCTCTCTCTTTAACTAGCGCAGGTGGTAGGGAATCCGGGTCAGCTGCACAAAAACAATCAAGGGCTGCGATCGCGTTTTGGACTTCAGCTTCCGGCGAGTATTCTAACCTAACCGTCCGTGGCTCATCCTACAGCACATGAGTAGCAAGAGATCTGAAATCAAGGGGCCAACTAAAACTGATCTTGAGCACGCCCCTTCCAATAAGCCATACTGCATTCCTTATTGTGAATCATGACACCCGCGGTGTCTCTCGCTGTCACTGACGCCTGGTTTCCCGGGATCAGTGGTGCGGATCAACTGGAAGAGCTAGTGATAGTTGCCTACTGTTCCTGCTTCCTCCATTCGTTGATTTCGATTGGTTCACCAGGCCTACTTGTCAATGCACAAGCTCCGCTTTACTTCTCTAATAGTCCGCCTGGTCACATTGTGCTCATAGCCAGCAGGGAGGTTACTTCTGGGGTTTAACAGGTCCACCTACCTCTCGAATATCCAGTGACCGGTACGATGATGATGGATAGTGCCGAAAGTAGAGGCTCCGCATCGTGCCTGTCGACCGAAATCCTATTCCACTGAA